CCAATTACCGAACAGTTTTCCGGTTTGGATTGCACCGACATCTCTTTTCTAAGTTTGGCCATCTCTTTATCCTTGCAATTTAAGTTCTTCAAGTCATCAATCAATTATTTCATTTATGTGATAGGCCTGCATTAAAAATAGACATTTACCATAAATTATAGGTATCTTATATTATTAGATACATTATTATAAAACATATTTTAGTTAAGGAGTTATTGATATTTCAAGTGCAAAATGATGATATAAAACCATGATAAAAATGCACTTTTAAGTACTAATCACTTTGGTTTGGTTTGATTTTTTATTTCAGATTTATAAAACCAAAAGTGAACTGAACCAATTGAGTTTTTCAAAATTCTAATCGATTTTTTTCACGGTTCGATTGTTTCAATTATTTTTTTTAGTTTTCTTAGTTTAATCAGTTTTTTGGTTTTTTTGCTCACCTCTAATGATAAATATATATGCTCAACAAGTAATGCAACAATGCACACCATTCTCAGACATAAGTAATATTTTTTTAAAATTTGAGACTGATGAAAAAAAATGAATACAATATCAAGTTTAACAAACTTTGATTGAAGGCTATAAAAGAGCCAATATGATGTTTCCTAAGAGAACTAATGCGGACACCTCCCAAGATACGTTAAAATTATATTTAAATTGTTTACAACTTGATCCAGCAAGAACCTGCCTATGGAAAACCAAAGTTATATGTAATGATCACCTCCACTCTATTCTTATAAAGAAATACAAATAAGTAATATAAAATTATAACAAAGTTGATCGATCCTTTAAAGAGTTTGCAGGTTCAATCAAGAACTTAATAAGAGAATCACCCAACCACATAAAAGGTAGCAAAAATATCAATTTTTTTTAATTAAAGATAATCTTATTACTAAACCAACTAAAATCTTTAACAAATTTTTTTGTATTGCTTTAATTGCATCAAGAATACAATTTGTAACTGATAATGTTTTGTTTTCTACCAAATCAAGTAGAAATTTGCTAAGTATTAATTGCTAAGTATTAAGGATACATGTCATAATGAGTATCATATTAAGATTGTTAATGATAATAATATAAAATATCTTTATGTCATATCAAATATATTTATGAAAAAACAACTAGTGAAAAAAAAACATTCATTTTATCTTCATATTTATACTATACAGGTATTAATAAAATTAAAGTCAATGAAATAATGAACCAAAAGTTCAATAAAATAAATAATTTTATTATTTGGCATGACCACTTGGGTCATTATAGATCAATAATAATTTAAAGAATTCTTTTATGTTGTTTGTTTTAAAGATGAATTGGTTAATAAATCATTACCAATTAAAGTTAGGATTAAATCCCTAAGATTTTTAGAATGTATTTAAAGTGATATTTGTAAGGTCATTTTCCTACCATGTGGACCATTTAGATATTTTATGATTTTAATATATGCATATAAAAGATTATCACATATGTGATTATTATCAACTCGCAACCTAGCATTTGCAAGATTACTTGCTAAAATTATTAGATTATGAGCACAATTTCCAGATCATATAATCAATACAAATCATCTTAACAATGTTAGTAAATTCACATCCTAAATATTTTATAATTTTTGCATGTCACGTAGTATAAACATTGAACATCCTGTCATTCATGTTCAGACTCAAAATAGTCTTGATAAATCATTTATTAAATGTCTCCAATTAATTTCAAAGTCATTGCTCATAAGAACAAAAATTTGTCTCTATTTAGGGACATATTATTTTACATGTAACAACATTTATACCTATTAGGCCAACATCTTTTTATAAATTCTTCCCCTTATAATTGGTTTTTGGTCTTGAATCATTTTTCATATAGGAATATTTGATTATGCAATATATGTTCCAATTTATCCATTATAACATACAAAGATGGGTCCTTAAAGGAGGATGAGAATATATATTGGGTTTGCGTCCTTATTGATAATTAAATATCTTGAATATTTAATTATTTTTTGGTCCTGAATTAAATATTTTTCATATAGGAATATTTGATTATGCAATATATGTTCCAATTTATCCATTATAACATACAAAGATGGGTCCTTAAAGAAGGATGAGAATATATGTTGGGTTTGAGTCCTTATTGATAATTAAATATCTTGAACCCTTAACAAGTAATTCATTTACGACATGATTTTCCGACAATCATTTTGATGAGACTATATTTCTAGCATTAAGGGGAGGAATTAAATACCTGGATAAAGATATTACATGGAATGCATTATCATTATTGAATTTTAATCCTTCTACAAAACAATATGAGAAAAAAGTTCAAAATATATTTCGCTTGTAAAACATAGCAAATCAACTACTAGATGCATTCACTAACTTAAAAAGAATAACCAAATCTTATATACTAGCTATAAATGTTCTAGCCTGGATTAAAGTCCCAATACGACAATTCGATAAAATTATAGTAAATGAATCTAAAGCACATTAGAAACATGGTAGACCAACCAATTTAAAAAAAATTCCTTGGAAAAGAAAAGGAGCAAATAATCAAGTTAGAATTATTAAGAATACAAACATTTATAAGGATATAAACATAACTAATCATAAAACTTCAGAATAAGTTCAAGTACTTAAAAATAGTAAAAACAAAAAGATCTTAATAAGTTATGTTTCTATATAAAAAAAAAAAGATGGAACCAAAATGAGGTAGTTGTTGACAACATTTCTTTTATATAATACATCTTTTGATATCATTAGTGAAAACAATAACCTTAAGCATAAATCTATTGAAGAATATTAGCGTAGACATAATTGGCCAAAATTAAAATAAAAAAAAAAACAATCCAAACAAAATTAAATTTACTTACAAAACATGAATTGTTTAGGCATGTGGTCCAAACACTTGAAAGTGTAAAGCTAGTTAGATATAAATAAGTATTTGTACGAAAATAAAATGAGAAAAATAAAATCATAAGATGTAAGACACGACTAATAGCAGAAAGGTTTTAGCTAAAGAATTGGCATTGATTATGATAAAATATATAATATATGTAATTACATCAGTATCTCATTAGCCTAACAACTCATGAAATTTAGATATGTTTCTTGTGGATATATGTATAATCTATTTTTATGGGTCAAATGATAAAGATGTTTATATGAAAATCTCTTGAGGATTTAAAATGTCTTAAGCTTATAATGATTAAAGCAATTAGAACACATGTGGTATAATCATTTTAATGAATATATTTTTCTAAAGGTATAATAATGATACAATTGCCTATTTATTTTTATATAAAAAATTTAGAATATTATTTCACTATTATTGTTATGTACATTGATGATTTAAATATTATTCGAAAACTTAGAGAGATATCAAAGATAATAAATTATTTAAAGAAAAATTTTGAGGTGAAAACAAAATTTTATCTTAGCCTGCAAATCGAGCATTTAGTAAATGAATTCTCATTCATCAATCAACTTATACAGAGAAGATTCTTAAAAGATGTTATACGGATAAAACATATATATTGAGTACCCCCAATAGTTGTTCGAACACTTGATATGAAAAAAAAAAAAAACTCTTTTAAACTTTAAAAGAATAATAAAGAATTGCTTAGTCCTGTACCTTAGTGCAATTGATATGCTAATGTATCTTACTAATAATACATGATCTCATATAGTATTCTTTATGAATTTGCAACAAGATAAAGCTCTTCTCCCACCCAGAGACATTGAAATGAAGTTAAACATATTTTTCATCACCAATGAAGAACTATGAATGTTGGCTTATTTTATTCAAATAATGAGAATCATGAATTAGTTGGTTATGATAGTATAGGATATTTTTATGCTTCGCGTAAAGTTCAATATAAAATATATTATCTCTTTACATATGGCATTAATTTCATTATATAAAGATTTACAAATCAAACATTAGTTGTCACTTCATATATTCATGCTGAAATATTTCACACATGACCATATTGTATGAAAACAATATTATATGCATAATTTAATTAAAAAAAGGATACATCAAAGAAGATAAAACAAAACATCTCTCATAAAAAAATTATATTTCACACATGACCTTGATAACTGTAGTGATGTTGATATTAAGCAAATTTACTTGAAAGATAATCTAACAAATTTATTCACTAAAACATTACTATTTATAATGTTTGAAAGATTGTGATACAATATTGAAATGCAATACAATAGCTTAAAGACTTAAAGTGATACATTTATCAGGAGAGATTAATATACATTATATTCTTTTTTCTTAACCAAGTTTTTTGTTTTTTCTCATTAATTTTTTTCTTGATAATGTTTTTAATAAGACATATTATAATGTGTAAGATTGTATAAAAGACATCTAAATGGGAGTGTTATGAAATCATATATGTTTATTTGCATTATTTTATTTGTTTATCTTCATGTTTATTCATCATCTCCAACTCATTTGAACTATAAATCTTCTTATGACTATAAATAGAAGTATAGTTAAGAAGATGTTAATATATCATATTTATAAGGTTATATGAAATAAGAATATTCTTTCCTTGTTCTTCTAATTTTTATTGTTAATATTTATTTTATTTAATATTTATTAAATATATTATCTGCTTCTAAATATATAGTTTTACAATATATCCTAATTTCTCAATACTAGTCTTTTCTCCAATATTAAAATGAATTGAATTAAGGAGGTGTTTGGAAGTGCAGTAGAAATTATTTTTTAAAATAATTTTTATTTGAAAATGTATTAAAATAATTTTTTATTTTTTTAAAATATTTTATTATCAACAAAAAAAAAAATAATTTTAAATTTATTTCATTAAACATTCAAAACAGCGCCTTACTCATCACGTCCAACTGCCAAGGCCAGCGCAGCTAAAAGAAAAGGTTAAAGCCCAACTAAATGTCGGCCCAAAAGCGAGGTCCGCAGCCCCCCCATTTATTACTACTTCTAGGTTTTATACTTTTATCATCCCTAGAACATGGAAAATTAAAGCAGAACAGGACAGAGCAGAGCAGGAGTCAGCAACGAGATTAAAAGATCTCACAAAACAAACGTTAGGTGATACAAATCAATGGTAAAAGATCAATTGCTATTAATTTTTTATTTTAATAGTCGAGAATTGAATTGATTTACATAGTTCCTTTTCTTCTTCTTCTTCTTCTTCTTCTTTTTGTTTTTGCTTATTGAATTGAAGGGTTCGAAGGCAGCAGCAATAACGAGTCCGGTCCCGGTGACATGGTACCCAACCCTAGCAATATTCATGCTGGCGATCGGCCTTATTGTCTCTGCTTCCTTCTTCATGTAAGCTAAGCTATGCTGAAATGAATTGTTGTTGTTCCTTTCCTCCACTAGATCAGATCTACATGTGTTGTAATTTGCTGAAAAAAATAATCAATTACCAGTCAAAATGATGTGATTTTAATTTAATTTGATTGTTCCTCAAATTTTAATCTTCTATTTAGGTTTTCCATGAGATATTATTACTCCACCAGAATTTGCTGCAGATTAATAATTACAAACATCCTCGGTCGGTCGTCGTAAATACTTAATGTACTGTTATAATGAAGATTAACATGCTATGTAGCAGGCATTTTGTTTTCTTGTTTTCTTTTTTAGAACAAAGAGTATTTTCTTTGAAAATGTTGTTGTTGATGAATTTATGACAAGATCTGCTGTATTGTCTGAACATGTTGCTGATGAACTATGGAAAGATCTGTTTGTGTGCAAATATGTGCCATCTCGTTTCTGATGTTATACAAGCATGGTTTATGCAGCTACGAAGCGACCTCTTCAAGGAGAAATCGCAGTTTGGCCAAGGAGCTTACTACAGGAGCATTGGCCTCTTTCTTTCTGGTATGATATGTTGTGTTTGTTACTCCCTCCACCTTCTGATTTGTTATTATTAATTTTGGTTCATTGCTCTATCTGAATGCCAATGTCGCTGGTGCAGGGTTTTGGGTCCTTGTTCATGTTACTTGCTTCTGGTGTTTATGTCTGAGTTCTTCATTTCGAACCAGTTATAATTATGTTAAGCAGAATTGGCTGCATATGATGAGACGTTTAACTGTTAATTTAGTTGAGAGTTTTGGTGATCAATGAGTTATGGACTATGATCATTAATCATTTTGAGTGATTTATGGATTCAATAGGCTATCTATCCTTTTCTTCATTTTCGCGGTGCTAGTTTTCAAGGTTTCTACTACTCATCGGCTAGGATGAGCTAAGCTTCCTTTTTCTCTTCCCCTTTCCATGTTCCTAGGCAGAGCCTTGATCAATTCGTGGAGACTTTAAGCTTTCCAGTTGATAATCAGCCGTTCAATTAAAGCATAGAGAGAATAACGTGTATTAGAAGTACCTCTTTGGTGTGGGAAAAAAGAATCAATATGGAGATCCCATTTAACGAATAATGAAGGGGTTTTTCCTCCATTTTTCAAGAAAGATGGTTTTTTTACCATCTTTGAACTTATCAAACTAACTTCTCATTGATGTATTCTTTTATTGGGATCTAATTCAAATCACGATAACATTTTCTTATTCTTGAGATAACATTTTCTTATTCTTGAGCGGGCTTCTTTAATTTTTTTAGGTTTGTGCTCTACTCCGATCCGAGTAAAGATTTGCATGATTTTGATTTGCACATGTAGGGCAAACTACTCCGATCCGAGTAAAGATTTGCATGTTTTTGATTTGCACATGTAGGGCAAATGCCTCCAATACCATGTCTTTTTGCCACAACTTTTTTTTTTTTTCAATTCATTTCACCCCTTCCACAAAATATTTGATGTATTTATCAAATTATTTGATTAATTATGATTAGCATAAAAAAATTACTCCTATTTTGAATTTATAAATATAATATGATACAAATAATAATCATGGATATAGTACTAATTAGGTTTTTTCTAAGCAGAGCCTGGATATTTCATTTTACTGGAATTGTCCTTTAAAAAAGTCATGAAATACTTTTACTTATTTTAGGGGTAAAATAGTCTTTTTGCTAGGTTTGTTTGTCATTTTAGAATAATGGTTCGGGGCATCTCAATCTTTTCATAATTTTTTTGTATAATAAAGTTACTATTTTTTTTAAAAAAAAAGAACACTTTAATTTAGGGTTTTTTTTTTTTAAAAAAAAGAACACTTTGATTTAGGGTTTTTTTTTTAATTTTCTTAACATTCACAATATAACTATTTTATTGTCATAGGAATTAAAAAGTCTTAGGCTTAGCCTTAGAGGCATGTTGGTATTTTTATTTTTATTTTATTTTTTATAATTATCAAGTGATTAAAAGGATAATTTAATAAATTGATTAATGATAATAATAAAAAAAAAAGTTTGTGTTCGTGAAATGTGTCGCTAAGTGATCCACTCCACTATCTTTGAAAGGTGCTTGTGGTGGCTTATGATGGGTAAAAATCATTTTTTTTATATCATGTTTGTTTCTTGGAAAGTAATTTTTGAGAAATTATTTTTTAAACTTTTTTGTATTTGTTTGTCAATAGAAAAGTTGATTAACAAAAAATATTTTCCGGTCAATGAAAAATATTTTTTAGTCAAAGAAAAATTGGCTTGATTTTTAAGAAAGTGTTTTCCTTTTTGGCAGTGTTTGTTTTTTAAAAAGTGATTTCTAAAAAATTATTTTTCAAACTTTTTTATGTTTGTTTGTAATTAAAAAAATTGGTTAACAGAAAATACATTCTAGTCAAAGAAAAATTTGGCAAGGTTTTCAAGAAAATATTTTTCAAAAGTTATGAAAAATTTAGAAATGTTATTATTTGCTGATTATATCAAATTTGATCTTTAAACTTTTAATTGTTATATATATTTTGTTTTGAATATTTATTTTTCAATTTTATTTTTTAAAATTTAATTTTATATTAACTTTGTACATATTTTTATAACTACTATTTGTTTTTTTTTATTATTTTTTTATTGAAATTTTTTATCTATTAAGATTGATCCTCAATCTTTTGATTGTTACTTATTTTATTTAAAATAATTTATAAAATGCTGATTATTATTATTTTAATTTCTTCATCTTTTATTTTTTTTTAATTTTTTAGATTTGATCT